GGAGACCCTGGGTGAGCACGCTGGAGGGATTATATATCCCATCTGACCTGAGAAGGCCTCAGAATCCCCCAGGAAGAGTTGAAAATCGTTGCTGGGGAGAAGGATGTCTGGGTTGACTTGTTTAAGCTGCTGCCACTGCGACCCGACCTCGGATTCACAGAAGAAAATGGATGGATGGATAAAAGTGGAAAAATACAAATGATTTCTCACCCTTCTTTTTCTTATCCTAAGACCAAAGCATTCGTGCAAAGGATGCTTGCACTACTAAAACTTTTTTGTTCCTGGAAACAGAAAATATATTTTTATCTGGACTTCAGCGTTCTGTTACACAGGCGGTTTTATCTCCAGGCAAAGGAGGCAACTGCCTCAGGGCATAGTTTGCCTAGTATGTCATATAACATTTTTGATTTAGCCCACTACTTATGTGGCTTAACTTATTGAAAAGGTATGATTGCTTTAAGCAAAATGGGGGAGGGTCTCACCCATAACTAAACCGCCTCCACTGTTAATATGAAGAGACGCAAAAAATGAATGCAAAGTAATGCATAAAACCAGCATATAATAACCACCATGTGTCAGGTTCACTGGTAACAGAGGCTGTTCAGGTTTCACACCAGTTTGAGAGGCAGCACAACCCAAACCTGAATTACTCAGTTTAAGGTTCAAGCAGTACAAAGCTCTTTGCTTACATCTAGTGGGAGTCATAGGTAACTACACCCACATTAGTAAGTCAGTCTCTTAAATGTTTATGTGGCTAATTTGTGATGCTATTGCTAACAATAAAGCATTTGCAAACTGACGAGCCCTGTGGTTATTGGAAGTTAATTTCTCAAGCACATTTCAGCAACAAGGGAAATCAAAGTGCTTCACACAATAAAAGCATCATGACTAAGAGAAAGAGACATTTACACCTTTGCAGATCTACCCTGGAATACAACATTTCACCCTAAAGGTACATCAAAATTGCTCCCAGGTGTGGTGAGAAAATGCAAACTGGTTCCTAAATTGGTAAAAAAAAACAACAACTGAAAGCCAGCTTTGTCTCTGTATTGTGTATTTTCAGGTAGTTCATTGTCGAACATTAGATGTGCTTACTCTGAGCCAAGTGGGGTTTTTCCTGTTTAAGGAGCCTAAAATATTAGTGACCACTGAGGCGCGCTGAAGTAATTGCCTCTGTTCAAAACACACTTAAGAAGCCCCCGGATAGTTTGAAGTTATTATTTAACAAAGGGCTCGTGTAATATTGACGGCACCTTTAATAGTCGGTGTTCAGCTGGAATCAGGATCTGTTTCCCTCCACTGTCTGTGACTTGTAACTGAAGTGTGTTTTTAAGTGTACTTAAGTGCCTGTGCCTTGAGTCCTGAGGTTGTTGCCGTTAAAAAGAGAAGTGTCGGGGGGAGTGAGTATTATTTATTTCAACTCTGTGCTCAAATTTACACAAAGGATTTCAGCAGCTTCTGCAAATCTGCAGCCCGAGTCCGTCCCTGCACGCTGGATCAACTGGAAAATCGTCCAATCCTCATTATTGTATAAAATGTTAAAGAATGAGGGGGATCGTAAAGTCTTTTATAGACAGCAGTGATTTCCAGTGATCACTCTTCTGCTTTGTCAGCGGTGTAGTGTCTGACATATTTGGGACAAAGGTTATGCTCCCCCTTAGAATGTGCTAAACAACATCTGGGTAGTGTTTGTATCTGAGACCTGTGTTGCTCCTTGAGTTACATGGAAATACATAAATCTAAGTCAGGAGCCCCCACAGTGGAATGCATACATTGGGGACCCTGTGTTCGGAGAATTGCCAAATATGAAAGCTGTATGGGGGAGTGCTGTCCTGGGTCCCAAAAACAGGAAACAGATATCCTCTTGTTGTTCTGTGAAATTCTGTATAAATATCACTCTCCTTCTAGTAGAGGAACTTGGGCCCCCTAAAAGTTGAGATACCCCTACCCGAGGTAGAACAAAGCACAACCATATTTTTTCACAACTTGAACATGTCTAGTTTATGAAACGGATGGTTGTATAAAAATATTTTACTGCAAAATAACTTTTTTTGGATGTTTTATGCATCTTACCAAAAAACTAAAATAGGTCAGTAGTAGTGCTTCTCCAAAAGGGACAGCTCTAGCCTTATCACATGTATCTCTGGGAATCAGAATCAGAATTTCACCAAATTTGGACAGGATGTTCACAGATAGTTATTAGTTACAATTATGCAAAGTTTTTATCAATACCATTTACAATTTCGGAATTTTTCACACTTAAACACTCGTGTAGTTTAGGCGGAAATTGAAAATTGAAACAAAAATTCAAAAGGTATGTATATCAAAGTCTGTCATTAAGTCAAGTAAGAACACCAAACATTAAAATATGTCATTTTTATCTTCTTTACACTGTTATCTCAACATAAAAGCAAGTTATTTGACTTTTCACTTGACCCTATGCTGTCACCAGCCCCTAACAGGAAACAAGTGCAGCCAGGATTTCAGTGCGACCTGGTACAATGGGGCCCTATGGATGTGTATGTGGGAGGAGGTGGCCACAAACAATAGTTTAAGACTGAACAACAAGACACAATATAATTGTATGCTGCAATATATATATATATATATATATAATTAAACATTTTATAGTTATTCCTAATACATTTTGTCTCACATTTTCTATCTTACATATGATTTATATGATGACACTCAGAGTCAACCCACTGCTTTCAACAATATTGTCACCTATGACGTTGTTTCTATTTCATTCTAAAAAATTAAAGCATTGTCTTGACATCAGTTGTGAAATATTAATGAACTAAAAAACAGCATTGATATATATATAACCTTGAGTTCTTAGAAATTAAATATACTTCATATAGTCTATTTGTATATCGGCCATACAGCCTGTTGTAGTTTTTTTTTATGTATTTCAGTCATATAAAGATGGTGTGTAGTCACCATATCTCCTGCTTTTAAGAAGAACCCTAGTTATTCCAGAGGATACACTGGATGAAGGGATAGTTTTTATAATACCCTAAGTATGATAAAGTGTTAAAAAAAGCTACAATATTTTTGTTCAATGATTTATCAGGCAACCAATGGAGCTGGGATACAAAACAATTCTTATGATGGTTTGAATGTGTGTAAGGTAAATTAGGATAACAATCATGCAAACATGTTTATAAAAAACTTCTTTATACACTTATTTTACCTCATTATATATAATGACATTTGATTTTAAATGCTAATTACAAAGGATGATTTCCACTTTTAGACAAAATGACTGTGAACATGAGAGCTTAACACCTTGCAACTAAAAACCTTTGTGTCACACTAAGCATCCCCTGGGGACAAAGTTTGACCTCTTAGCTTAAGGAAAACAATTGCTGCAGAAAATAATCATCAACAAAGTCAACCAACCAAACATCACAAACAAATCAAGGCATCACAACCAAATCAAGACACCACAAATAATCAAGACATCACAACTAAATCAAGACACCACAACTAAATCAAGACACAATAACTTAATAAAGACATCACAATCAAGTCAATACATCACAACCAAATCAAGACAACACAAATAATCAAGACATCACAACTAAATCAAGACATCACAACGAAATCAAGACACCATAACTAAATCAAGACATCACAACTAAATCAAAACATCACAACCAAATCAAAACATCACAACCAAATCAAAACACCACAACTAAATCAAGACACCACAACAACAACAAAAGTTAACATGGTTGATCCATGCACTGCTGGTGGATTTTCAAGTTGTGTATCTATTTGTATTGCAGGTGTCTTCTACCTTTGTTATCAATGCGGTTTGATATGTAAGGTTTATATAACTTGGAAGCAAACAATGTAAATGAGAACATGCAGTATGTTTTTCCCCCCGTCTCCTTGTATTTGTCTTGTAAAGTTCGACACACCTCAAAGTGTCCCAGCTCTCATGTAAATGTGATACAAATGGAAGCAAAGAGAAAACACTGAGACATGAATGTTTTCTTTTGGGAGGGCGTTTTTGTTTTTTTAACACACCGACGCACTGAGAGTGTGAGCAGCAGCGTGTTTGTTGAAGCTCCCCGAACATGCAAAAGACTCGGAAGGAGACGGTTTCAACAAGTCTGACCGAGTATGTCTCAAGACTGTGAGGACTTTATATAATAAAGTATATTTTAGTATATGTCAGTTATTGTCTTTTTAATTGTGCTTACGTTTATTCATGTTTGGGGCTGCTTGGTTATGATACTTGTCAAATTCTGAAGCTGCTGGGGCTCATTCTTTAGCCTGTCATCTCTCTGTTTCTCAGGCTCAATTAAACCCTCCGAGGCTGATGTGAATATCTCTGTCGTTATACTTTTAGTCTGGACACTGTGAGTCTTACACTTTTGTATGAACCAAAACATCTGTACTGTTTAACCAGCTGCTTGCAGGAACGCTCATCCTTTTCACTTAAATTACCCTGACTCTGGAACAGGAGAATCAATCAGGGTTATTCCTCGTTTAAATCAATTGATAAGGGATGATCAGAGCAGTGCATGAAAGGTTGCATGATACTTTCCAGCAATGCAAGAAAGTTAGAACTATAGGTATTGTGAGGGGAAACTCCAGAAGTAGGTATTGTGAGGGGAGGTATTGTAGGGAGACGCCTACTGGATCAAAAAGTAGCACGTTCGTCCTTTAAATATGTCATAAAAAATAGATATTCACAAACCAAGTGAGGATACGTTGCTTTTGGTAACATTTGTTAAAGTATAATAAAAAACCTTCAGTGAAAAAAAAACAGAATCACTTTGAATAAACCAGGTTAAGAAACCTTTTATAAGGAAGATGAAATAATGTAGACTAGACAAATCATACAAAATGTACAAAAATATTCTGTGCAAGTCACGCAAAGGCATTCATCAGATCAAATCAGACTAACTTATAGAACAAACCTAAAAGTAGTTTATAGCAGATCAATGAGAAAGCTGAGCATTTACATCTTTGTATGATTTTGTATTTGTGTGGTTACGCAGTGGCCGTGATTACTAAACAGAAGCAAACACACTCAACAACAAAGAGAAAAATAATTGGTATAAATAATGGTTAAAAGTGTCTCTGGCATGCTCTTCTCTTCTCTGGCTCCAGGCTCTCCTTTGTACCGCACACGTTATCTCCGACAGTCCGTCTATTCGCACTTGTCCAAGTCCTCGGAGACTGAGGGTACATCCTTCTGTTGAAAATATATTGTACACATTCTTACAATTTTCTCACAACAATCAAATACACACTGTACTCGATAATGATTCCAGGAAGACATTTTAGAGAACAAATCGCAAACACAAAGAAACAAGATTTACTGCCTTCATGGTTTTACATCGACTACAAAGACATTTAAGAGGACAACTATATATATATATATATGTATGTATAACTCTCATCAAACGTACCACAGATCCTCCATGTCGCTGCTTATTGAAAGAGCAGGTCAGCCATTTCATGTACTCCTCTCTGACCTAGAAAACACAATTAAAAACATTTTGTTTCAGAGTTATGTATTAACACCACTATGGCTGTCATCATAGTTGTAGTGCATGCAAGTACTTTAAAGAGCAGTCAGTCGTACCTCCTTATTGAGCAGACAGTGCACGATGAACAGGAAGGTTCCCTGCTGCGAGTTCAGAATGATAAAGAGGACCTGGAAGAATAGATTGGTCTGGTACAGGCCCAGGATCCAGGTACAGCCCAGTATGACAAACTGGGCCAGGATCTTGAACACAATCAACCTGAAAAGAGTTTATTATACGTTTGTTAAAGGTAAAAGCATGCATGTATCTGCATTAGACCATCGAATACATTCAAATAGAAATATTTAGAGCCTTGAGTGAAATAGATTATCTAAACTGTTGCAACAACGATCTTGAACACTTTGGCTCATACCGGGTGTCCTTAGATTGAGAAACATCACTCCTCATGTTGGCCAGCGTGGGTCGAAGACTCCAGAGAGTGGCACAGAACAACATCCAGTTCAGCTAAAAGAAAAAAAAAAACACAGAGGCTGGACTGAGATAAAACAACATGTCATCTGCAAAAAAAAGAGCAAATAACTGTTAATTCTACTTGTGAGGACATAGGGCCCGATCACACCGTGTAGCCTTTACAAGGACAGTGATTATAAAACAACATGATCATAAGTTAAGGCCAAAATTAAGAAATAAAAACACATTTCAGGAAATCAAATTCATTTAAAATAATTTAAAAAAGTTAAATTAAAGTCAACTAAAATCAGGAAAGACCTGTCGGTAAAAGTGTGTCACAAAGAGGGACAGAAGACTGACTCGGCTCATTTGCTGCATGCATCGCTGCAGTGCCAACTGCAGCGATGCGATTCACACTTTTTACCCCACTGGTAATACCCAAGTGGCCTGATGTTTCAAGGTTTGATAGCAAAGCCACTCTCTGCAACCACAAATGAATAAGGCTGAATTATCTTTAGATTTTCTCTCATTCATTTGATCTTCACCATGAAGACAGCAGTGCAGAGTGTGAGCTTGAAGAGAGAAATCCTGTATTTGCCTTTTAAATTCTCAACATTATTTTGTGAGCAGGTTCTTTAAAAGTGCTCTTGGCTTGTTTACTGCGGTTAGCTTTTTAGCTTAAGCCTGGTACACATTACACGATTTTTAAAATCTTAAACGATTTTGATAACGTGAGAGACCCCACACATGACAACAATCCTGACCGATTAACAGTTCAGATCGCATAGTGTGTGGTGTGCAACGAGACGATCAACTCGGCACACCACACACTAACCGATTCATTCGCCGACAATCAGTGTGATCTTGCGCGGTCAGACGCGATTTAAGAGTAAACAAATATGATGGGCAAGCTAAATGTGGTTTGCTGTTAGCTGGTTCATCCATTACGGTCAACATTTTGGTCTAACTCCTTTCCTTGTCAGTTGGATTGTGGTTTGTTTTACAGGACATGTTGTAATATAACTTGGGCCCAAAACCAGCCCGGTTATCTTGTAGTGTGTACCCCACATTAGAGAAATAGATCGGATGCATTTATTTATACACATAAAACTCACTCCAAGGATAACAATCACAGGTCCCGTCAGAGCCCAGTTGAAGTTGCGATTTCTGGAGAGCCAGCACCTGCAACAGAATCAAACAAATGAACGGTCCTTTCGAACAACATGCACACAGAAGAATATGAATGCGAGCATGTATTACTGTTTGTGTTACTTACACCTCGGCCTCCGTGGCACCATATCCATCAGAATATACCAGTGCAGAAACACCCACAATCACAAATGGAACTCCGTAGCCAATCAGGTAGAGAAGCACACGGGGGAGGCCATCCCTCTGAATGACCTGCACCTTGGAGAGCCTCCTGACTAACAGGTGGAGCTGGAGAGCCTCCAGCAGCATCCACACAAAACTTGCAACGACTAAGAAGTGCAGAAGACCTGCCATGACAGTGCAAGCCAGCTGTGGAGACACACAACAAAAGTCTTTTTGAATGAAATGCTTTGCTTCGCTTTTGGAGAGATCCATTTGAGTATTTTGAAAACCAAAAACAACAATCTGCATCTCATTCCAGTGTACCTCATGTTCAGTATATCTGTCGTTCCACAGCAGCAGGAGGTGGGAAAAGGCGAGGTTGAGGCAGAGGTGAAGACGGGCTGTGTTGTTGATCTTCGGGTTCCAGCTGCACAAGAGGAAGGTGAAGATGGCCAAACCGAAGAAGGCAAGTCCTACCATCACACACATTCGGTTCAGCCAATCTAGGAAAGGATTCTCTGCTGGAGGCTGAGGAGACACAGCACACATTCAAATGATTTTTTTTGATCTTCGATTCCGTAGAGGAAACTGAAATATTTCTAAATGAGCACCAACACACTAATCTCTGATACCTCGCCGATCTGCATGATGAGGGCAAATGTGGAGAGATGAGAGCAGCTGCACACGGTGACATTTTCAGTGGTGTAAGCAACCCAGCAGCCCTCCACAGACCAACGCAGCGTCCTTTTCTTTCTTTGTCCTGTCTCCTCTGTTTTGTCCTCCCAGTACACACACGTCACAAAACCATTTTCGGGTACCTGATGAAACCACAGAAACAAAGATTTTACCAGCTGCACATCATCTTAAAAAATAAGCTCGATAGATAAATTGAGCTGAACCGTCTTGTGCTGGATGGTGAAGTTGACAGGCTCGGTGAGGTTGGTGTTGTTTATCGAGGGTAAGATGGCGGTGATGATGTCAGAGTACATCTCTGTTTGGTTTTCTGTTTTAAAGTAGTTATGACTGAGAAGACTCTCCATGCCTGTTATTGTCAGGAAAGCAGCTGCAGCGGAACCTGAAAATGTCCACATATTGAAGGAACACATTAGGGAAAATTACAGCAAGCATGTTATGTGAATATGTAGAGGATAATGTATAGCGAACAGGTTTTTATCACAGAAAGGAACCCTTACAGGATGAGGAGGAACCCCGACATGAAGTGTGCTTAGTTAAAAGACAGACAGACTCAAAAAGAAAGGACACTTGGATGTGCACATCGGAGAACTACGCAGAGACCATGACCTTAGTTCATCTATATCACCCAATTTCTGAATTTGTTAATTTCTCATTGACAGCAAGCTTCTTTTTCCTCTTGTTTATGTTGTCACAGTCAAAGTTCTGACGCTTCATTTACTCGACTTCCTGCTGCAAATTGATATAATATGAGTACAAAATCTAAAGTCTGGGATAAGAGCTTCATCACTAGCAAGACTCTTCTTCAAGATTCTTCACAGTAGAAGTCTTCAATCAATAAAATGCAGAACTAAGAGTGCTGCATTTGCCCAATCAGAATCTAGTTTTCAGCACATCCTTGCAATCATTTGGTTGGTTTCTGAACTTAATTTGAGTCCGTTTTCAAATCAATATGCACTGAGCACACAATCACACACGGGGATTTATGACAATAAAGTTTCACAGTCATCCTGGTTTACATAATGAAACTTTTCTCACCGTTGTTATTGTCGGCCAGCCCATCCAAGTTGATCGCCATGCTGTTTCCTTTGGCTGTGAGAACCGAGCTCTCTGCGTTGTGTACTCCAGGCCCGATCGTCTCCAGACTTAAGTCTAACACACAGACGATCGTTACAACAACCACTCAGTTAAAACAAAAAAAACATCTGCAGTACACTAAGAAGTGGACCTCTTACCCACTGCTGAACCCTTCACAGATCTCTTTGTTTTGTTCTGACCCGGCTGCACTAAGCTAGAAACTAAACGGTCTGAGATGCCCAGGATCAAACTGCCGGTCTCCCCGTCACCTTTGCTGCTCACCCTGCTTGACTTGGCGTGTGGTCCAACACCAGAGACTTCCTACAAGAATCATAACAGTTAACAAACAAACTGACTGTGTGACGATGCTCAAAGCAAACTGAAATCACACAGTTTGAGTGAAAAGGTTAAATGAGGAACTCGTACCATAGATGCTGCGAAGCCGTTTGCCACAGTCTGTAGCGAAAGCACAAGAAAAATACGTTTTAGATGAAGTTACATGGTGCATCTAAGTTTCCAGATTTTGTTTGCATTTCTAGTTTATGTGAAACTACTTTGGCATACTCTCAGGCACTCCTATTCTAAGTTATTTCAAGAAAGTATTTTTCTCCTCCCTTTATTCAAGAGGTTTATCTTTCAATTTCTATTGGACGTTCTATTGTCAAAGTTATTTTTTTTTTAAAGATTAATTTTTGGGGCTTTCAGCTTTTATTTTGATAGGACAGTTAACAGAGTAGGAAATCAGGGAAAAAAGCAGGGAACATTTCACTGGTCAAAGCTACGCATGAGTTTTATTCGTTTGTTGTGAGATCTGTGTGAAAAGGAAAAGAGTGCAGTCAAAGGGTCCGAGTACAAGTCGGGCAAATCTAAGTGAAAGCTGGAATTTATTAGGCAGGGTTCTTAACTTTTATAATTGTATGCTCCAGTTTTTTCTTTGGTTCCTGTCTTTAAGAGGGTATCCACAGAAGTATAATAGTGTCCAACCATGCATCATGACAAAGTCAAACAAAAATCGCATTATCCTCTTTAAATTGCAGTGAAAGATAAATCATGGGTCATTTCTAAAGTTTATTGGAGAGGGCTAACTCTTCTTTTTTTTTCCTCACCGGGCCTGGTAAAAAAATGCCTTCATTTTCTTGTAGTTGTTGATCCATGTTGCCGAGAAAAGCTCTCTCTTTAGTCTCACCCTGCAGCAGAAAGGGAAAAAAAAGAGACTCGTTATAAGGTTACACGATGCAGTGTCTGATCCAAACTTTTACATAGTTTTCCTAAGGATATTGATGTTTGTACACCAGCCTTATCTCTGGCTACTTCCGATGACGATGGTTTTTGTTTGATAGTGAGGACTTATAAGATGGTTTCTATACTGATTAGAGCTCTCAAGAACTGCCGTCAATGTTGTGCTTTACCTCTGGTCACTTCCTGTCAGCACCTGTGTGTCCAATCGGAGTCAAAGCTGATCGTTTGCTCTTACTGACATTGTTCCCTTTTTTCTAGATCCTTGCTTGTGTTGTACTTACTCTCTGATGTACCTCGCTTTGGATAAAAGCGTCTGCTAAGTGAATTGTAGAATTGTAGAATACTTCCCATTACAAGGAAAGTATTCTAGGCTGTGGTATCTAATGTGAAAGAGATGAAACTGATTGTATTCTAACAAACCTCTTGGAAAAACATTTGAGAAACAATATTCCACTAGTGTTAGTAAACTAGTTCACTCTTTGGCAATTCAACTTTGCAGGTAATGTTTACCTCTGCAGGTTCGATCTCATCTAAAATATTTTGAAGACCTGTGGAAGAAAATGACAATAAGAACTTGTGCAGGCTTAAAAAGCATGTCATAATATGAAAGTGTACTTAATATACTTTAACCGGTTATATTCTGAACATACTTTGACAGAATGAGACCCCTACTTCCCAAAAGATCCCAGTTGAAGGGTAAAATCCATCGGGGCAAGAACAATAGAAGGTCCCAGGTACATTAGTGCATATAGTTTGTTTACCACATATACCAGGAGTCTCACTGCACTCGTCTATATCTGAGGAGAGAGAGACAACACACTGTTACACACAGAACACACTTCACATGGTCACAAAATCATGACATGTTAGCAGTAACCACGGTTACATACCTGTGCATGGGTTAGCATGGCTGGCTATCACCTTCAGGTTGTTCAGACGAAAACCCGAAAAGCAGACGCAGAAGTAAGATCCGATGGAGTTTGTGCAGTTGGCGTGAGGACCGCAGACTGCGGCGTATTTTTCACACTCGTCAACATCTGCAGCACGCATGAAAACACAAATGAAACCGCAGGAAAATCTGAGTGAAAAATATGCCATTAAATAAAAATGTTCTGCTTTTGGGATGTGGAAAAAAAGTCAAATACCGATACAGATGTTTTCCTCGCTGGGCTCCTGGTCTGGTGTGGTCGGTTCATAGCCCAGATTACATGCACAGGTATAAGCTCCAGGTGTGTTGGTGCACTTGGACTCAGGGCCACAGACGGTGGAGTTGAAACACTCATCGATATCTGAGGAAAAGTTTACGCCGTTGGAATGTCATTGTGTGAATACAAACACAAATGGGAAAATGTAGTAGTTCAAATTGGGTATCTTTTTGCTGTGAGGCTTCAGCACTAACCGTTCTGCCCCTGATAAGTTATAGTTATAGTCTTATCTTAAAAAGACAGCAGACAGTAGACAGACCTTGGCAAATAGGAGTTGCATCGGTGTCAACTTTGTAGCCTGCATTGCATGTACACACAAAACTTCCTATGTTGTTAACGCAGCTCCCCTCACCGCAGACATTTTCACTACATTCATCTATATCTGTAAAAGAAGAAAATTCATTCATTTAATCACAGTGATGTGATTGCAGCTCATAAAGAGCAGAGAGACAGGCTTGTTTGTATTTGTACCTTGGCAGGGGTTGGACGTAGAAACTGGTGAAGTCGCATCTGTTGCAGTAAATCCATCTAGACAGGTACAGAGGTGTGATCCGATGGTGTTCTCACAGGTGGAGTAAGAACCACAAATACCGGCGGTCTTCACACACTCGTCAATGTCTGCCAAGAGATGTAAAACTGCATCAGCTAAATGATAGTTTTACGGGGAGACATGGGACAGACCTCCCAGGATTTGTCCCACTTAGTATGAAATAAACAGGCTTACCAACACATCCAAATGACTCTAGAGTGGGCAGGTGGTCGGCAGGGATTTCATAGCCAGTAATACAAACACAGCCTCCACCGCTTGTACACTGAGCCAGTGGTCCGCAGGAGTCTGCTGTACAATTACTGTGATCTAAACAGAAGCAACAAAAGAAACAAGAGAGTTTTCATTGTGAAAAGATGACAGTAGCTCTTTTTTTAAACTGCTTTACATTGAAGGGAAATATAAAGTACATGATGAAAATGAGTAAGCATGTCTTACAGGTTGCATAAATCAGATGGCTTGATGGATGACTTGATGGTTTGTAAATGTAGAATCCTCCAGGGCAGAGGACAATGCTCATTGTTATACCATAATTAGTGCAACCTCCAACATCCGCATATGCCGTCCCTGTAGTTGCAGTGTCAGATTCAGTCGCTGGATATGAAAAAGGAACATGGACGTTGTAATGGCTACCACCTCTGGTGGTTCCATAGCATGTTGCAATGACTCTGTCTCCACCGAGCCCTGTGAAACGTATCCACTTCCCAACGAAAGCCACGTCATTAAATGGGAAACCAGGAAAGGAGGACGACTTAAATTCAAAATTCCGCCATGTTTGATTTGCGTTTATGTATCCATCACAAGAACCTGCATGGAAAAAACAACAACAAAGGAACTGCATGTTAAAAAAATAAGAAGCAAACCACTGTTACTTCAACAACAAGCTGCATCTGTGTCTAATTTTTTTTTGAACAAGTGTGAGTGATGCATACCAGAAGGGTAGGCACTGTGACCGAGGATGAAGAGTGAGCCTGTGACGTACATGAGGAGAGAGCGGTTAAAAACACATAATTCTTATGTTAATGCACACATGGAATAAGCAGCAACACAAGTCGTCATATACACACGGACCAATTGCCTATTCAACAGCTCCACTGCCTGTTGTGGGGTCTTTGATGATTCATGGATGATTGCCTCGTCCGCATACAACTGGCAACAAACATTTTCACGGCTGTTTGGTAGCTCGTTAATGAATAGACAAAATTGAATTGTTGTGGGCATACCACAAGGCCCCAGAATGGAGCCTTGTGGTATGCCCATATTACAGTTTTTGGGGGATGATATTGAACTATTTATTTTAACACATTGCTTTTGAAATTTACATATATGACATCAACCTGCTGAGCGTTTGATAAGAGAAATGTAGCTTTTTATAATATTGAAGAGTAAAATTGTGGTTTACAGTATCAAAGGCCGTTTTCAGGTCTTGAAATACTGCTCCTACAACTTTATCGTCATCTATTTTAGATTATCTTTTTTTCGATTGGCCTGTAGTTACAGGCTTTGTTTGCAGATTTGAAAGTTGGGGTTATAACTCCTTGTTTAAATATTTTAGGAAATTCTCCAGCATTAATGGGTACATTTATTATGTGCTCTTTGGGCTTTTCTCGTCTTCTGACTACTCAAAGCGCATTTACACCGCAGGTCACACCTACACATTCAAACACAGATGGCAGAGGCTGCTATGTAAAGAGTCCATCAGTATTAACTCATCCATTCATACACATTCATTGACACATTGACAAAGCAGTGGGAGTTACTTGGGGTTAGGTGTCTTGCCCAAAGACACATCGGACATGTGGCTGCCGGTGCTGGGGATTGAACCCCAGAACTTTTTGTTTTGAGACGACCGACTCTACCAACGGAGCCTCAGCTGAGCAGCATTAGAGTTATTTAGTTGATTAATTACTTGTTGAATTTTGCCTTCATTAGTCTGTGATGAAAAATGAGTTCGGTGCAACATTTACTGAGATGTCTGACATAACTATTGGTTGGAAATCTGCTGCCAATTCCTCCACTAATGGGGTATAATACAAAGTAGGTATCCCCCTGTTTTTTTATTTCATTTATCTTATCTATTCTGTTTAATGTGTATTTGAGCTTTCTTGTCTGTGCTGCTGTAACGCCCGAATTTCCCCTCTGGGGATCAAGAAAGTATTATCCTATCCTATCCTATCCTATTTGCAACTTCCATGCTCTCTGAGCTGATCTCCCTATTTACATTTATTTGAATTACACCTTTTCTCTGGTAAGCCTGTTGATTTGTCTCTGCAGATATGAGCTTTTAAAGTATGATGTCTTTGCTTTTCTCACTTCACTGACAACGTCATTTCGGATTCCTTTGAAAATAAAAATATCTGTTCACCGTTTTGTAGAGACTGATTGTTAATAAAGCGAGGTCCCTCATCTTCATAAACTGAAGTTGTCAATCCACAGGAGAGATGAAGTTTTTCTGCCATAATGTAGTGGCTTTGGGAATTTTTGTATTGTCTTTGTTAATGAGTCCATCAAAGAATCACAACGTTTATTCAAATCACATGATTGAACAACTGATTCTCAGCTGTATAAAAGTTTTTTTCAAACATTTCTTGTGAAGTTTCCAGACGATTAGCGCCAAATTATGATCAGACAGGCCCATCAATGAAAGAGAAGTTCTTGTCTTTCGATCATGTTTGTTGGTAAAAATTAGATCTAAAAGTGTTTGTCTTGTTTGGCTTTTTGTCATTTGATGCAACAACTGAGGGCAAGAAATAGACAAACACAATATATTAAAATAACGCATATAAAATCCTAAACCCTGACATTTTTGTAACAACAAGTTGGTGCTCGTTAAACAACAGTTTGGGCTCATAACACACATATTTGAGTGATTCAAGATTCAGGTGAAAATAAATTGTGAAGTTTTATACTGAATACAAAATGAATTCTGTATCGCTTCCCAGTTTAATCACAACTATACAAATCAAAGAGATGAACTCACCCAGAAGGAGTGTGCAAGCGAAGCAGCTCATCATGACCGAGCCCACTCCACGAAATGCCCATCACCAACGTTAGGGCTGCATATACGTGCAGGCACCGCACCCAAAAACTGTTTTTGCAGTGTGTTGCAATGCAAAGGTTGATGCAAATTCATTAACTTGTGATGGAGATGCTTCAGATAAACACAGCTTCATGCCAAGACTGAAGGAGGGAACAGAGCTGCAGTAAAATGTACCACACATGGTAAGAATTCATAAGCCAGAAAGTTAACTCAAGGAAAAAAATCCAGCAAATACATTAACACCAGCCGTCTCCAGCAGAGTTTTACAAAATAAAACAAATAAAAAATAATATTTAGAGAGAGAGTGTGAGGCAACAAGGATTTATACGACTCCATCTGTGTGGTTTATTTTGAAAATATGAATCATTTCATGTGCATATTTAATGAAGAAGTTGTTATGATATCAATGATTTATTGTTGTTGTCTGGGGATGCAGACACTGGGGGTATAGTGGTCACCTCACAGCGAGGTTCCTGGTTTGAATCCCTGTCTGACAGGAGCCTCTCTTTGTGGAGTTTGCATGTTCTCCCCTGTGCATGTGTTGGTTCTCTTTGGGTACTCCGGCTTCCTCCCACAGTCCAAAGACATGCTCGTTAGGTTAACTGGTGACTCTAAATTGCCCGTAGGTGTGAATGTGAGTGTGGCTGGTTGTCTGTCTCCAAATGTCAGCCCTGTGATTGGCTGGTGAACAGTCCGAGGGTGTACCCCGCCACTCTCCCAATGACAGCTGGGATCAGCTCCAGCCCCCAGCAACCATGGACGGGAAAAGCGGTACAGATAATGGATGGATTGTTATCTGTTTCCAAAGTGAGTCTTGAAAAGGGGGGAAAGAGTTTCAGGTTCTCTGCACCTGCAGCCTGGACTCTCCTGCCGGATGATCTGTGTCGGTGGGAGGTGGTCTCTTTAAATATACACAAGGGCGTCCCAGTGTGAAGCTACGAGCTAATTAAAGTGTGCTAACATTAGCATGCTAACACTAACAATGCAGGACACTCGAGCACACTTAGCTCGAGCAAAGGACGATTTTGTCTGCCACTTGCGCTAAACTTCTTCCTGCAAATTTCCTGGACAGCAGAGGATTCAGTGTTTGTTTTGGGTTTCATGCTGGTGCTCTAGGGAGACGCCTCCTGGATCAAAAAGTAGCACGTTCGTCCTTTAAATATGTCATAAAAAATAAATATTTACAAACCAAGTGAGGATACGTTGCTTTTGGTAATATTTGTTAAAGTATAATAAAAAACCTTCAGTGAAAAAAATCAGAATCACTTTGAATAAACCAGGTTAGAAACCTTTTATTAGGAAGATGAAATAATGTAGACTAGACAAATCATACAAAATGTACAAAAATATTCTGTGCAAGTCATGCAAAGGCATTCATCAGATCAAATCAGACTAACTTATAGAACAAACCTAAAAGTAGTTTATAGCAGATCAATGAGAAAGCTGAGCATTTACGTCTTTGTATGATTTTGTATTTGTGTGGTTACGCAGTGGCCGTGATTACGAAACAGAAGCAAACACACTCAACAACAAAGAGAAAAATAATTGGAATAAATAATGGTTAAAAGTGTCTCTGGCATGCTCTTCTCTTGTCTGGCTCCAGGCTCTCCTTTGTACCGCAAACTTTATCTCCGACAGTCCGTCTATTCGCACTTGTCCAAGTCCTCGGAGACTGAGGGTACATCCTTCTGTTGAAAATATATTGTACACATTCTTACAATTTTCTCACAACAATCAAATACACACTGTACTCGATAATGATTCCAGGAAGACATTTTAGAGAACAAATCGCAAACACAAAGAAACAAGATTTACTGCTGCTTTTATATTGACTACAAAGACATTTAAGAGCTCAACTATATATATATATATGTATGTATAAACACTTGATATGTATGTAAACACAATGATCAAACTGCCTCCTCTCATCATGCATCGTTAACTCTCATCAAACGTACCACAGATCCTCCATGTCGCTGCTTATTGAAAGAGCAGGTCAGCCATTTCATGTACTCCTCTCTGACCTAGAAAACACAATTAAAAACACTTTGTTTCAGAGTTATGTGTTAACACCACTATGGCTGTCATCATAGTTGTAGTGCATGCAAGTACTTTAAAGAGCAGTCAGTCGTACCTCCTTATTCAGCAGACAGTGCACGATGAACAGGAAGGTTCCCTGCTGCGAGTTCAGAATGATAAAGAGGACCTGGAAGAATAGATTGGTCTGGTACAGGCCCAGGATCCAGGTACAGCCCAGTATGACAAACTGGGCCAGGATCTTGAACACAATCAACCTGAAAAGAGTTTATTATACGTTTGTTAAAGGTAAAAGCATGCATGTATCTGCATTAGACCATCGAATACATTCAAATAGAAATATTTAGAGCCTTGAGTGAAATAGATTATCTAAACTGTTGCAATAACGATCTTGAACACTTTGGCTCATACCGGGTGTCCTTAGATTGAGAAACATCACTCCTCATGTTGGCCAGCGTGGGTCGAAGACTCCAGAGAGTGGCACAGAACAACATCCAGTTCAGCTAAAAGAAAAAGAAAAAACACAGAGGCTGGACTGAGATAAAACAACATGTCATCTGCAAAAAAAGAGCAAATAACTGTTAATTCTACTTGTGAGGACATAGGGCCTGATCACACCGTGTAGCCTTTACAAGGACAGTGATTATAAAACAACATGATCATAAGTTAAGGCCAAAATTAAGAAATAAAAAAACATTTTAGGAAATCAAATTCATTTAAAATAATTTGAAAAAGTTAAATTAAAGTCAATTAAAATCAGGAAAGACCTGTCGGTAAAAGTGTGTCACAAAGAGGGACAGAAGACTGACTCGGCTCATTTGCTGCATGCATCGCTGCAGTGCCAACTATCCATACGATCTAAGTTTACATCCCATCACTTGCAAATCCTGGTCATTTGCATTTCACACTTTTTACCCCACTGGTAATAACCAAGTGGCCTGATGTTTCAAGGTTTGATAGCAAAGCCACTCTCTGCAACCACAAATGAATAAGGCTGAATTATCTTTAGATTTTCTCTCATTCATTTGATCTTCACCATGAAGACAGCAGTGCAGAGTGTGAGCTTGAAGAGAGAAATCCTGTATTTGCATTTTAAATTCTCAACATTATTTTGTGAGCAGGTTCTGTAAAAGTGCTCTTGGCTTGTTTACTGCAGTTAGCTGGTTTGGTCCAGACATTTTTAGGTTAAGCCTGGTACACACTACACGATTTTTAAAATCTTAAACGATTTGGATAACGTGAGAGACCCCACGCATGACAACAATCCTGACCGATTAACAGTTCAGATCGCATAGTGTGTGGTGTGCAACGAGACGATCAACTCGGCACACCACACACTAACCGATTCATTCGCCGACAATCAGTGTCTCCACTATCACAAAGTGTAATCTTGCGCGGTCAGACGCGATTTAAGAGTAAACAAATATGATGGGCAAGCTAAATGTGGTTTGCTGTTAGCTGGTTCATCCATTACGGTCAACATTTTGGTCTAACTCCTTTCCTTGTCAGTTGGATTGTGGTTTGTTTTACAGGACATGTTGTAATATAACTTGGGCCCAAAACCAGCCCGGTTATCTTGTAGTGTGTACCCCACATTAGAGAAATAGATCGGATGCATTTATTTATACACATAAAACTCACTCCAAGGATAACAATCACAGGTCCCGTCAGAGCCCAGTTGAAGTTGCGATTTCTGGAGAGCCAGCACCTGCAACAGAATCAAACAAATGAACGGTCCTTTCGAACAACATGCACACAGAAGAATATGAATGCGAGCATGTATTACTGTTTGTGTTACTTACACCTCGGCCTCCGTGGCACCATATCCATCAGAATATACCAGTGCAGAAACACCCACAATCACAAATGGAACTCCGTAGCCAATCAGGTAGAGAAGCACACGGGGGAGGCCATCCCTCTGAATGACCTGCACCTTGGAGAGCCTCCTGACTAACAGGTGGAGCTGGAGAGCCTCCAGCAGCATCCACACAAAACTTGCAACGACTAAGAAGTGCAGAAGACCTGCCATGACAGTGCAAGCCAGCTGTGGAGACACACAACAAAAGTCTTTTTGAATGAAATGCTTTGCTTCGCTTTTGGAGAGATCCATTTGAGTATTTTGAAAACCAAAAACAACAATCTGCATCTCATTCCAGTGTACCTCATGTTCAGTATATCTGTCGTTCCACAGCAGCAGGAGGTGGGAAAAGGCGAGGTTGAGGCAGAGGTGAAGACGGGCTGTGTTGTTGATCTTCGGGTTCCAGCTGCACAAGAGGAAGGTGAAGATGGCCAAACCGAAGAAGGCAAGTCCTACCATCACACACATTCGGTTCAGCCAATCTAGGAAAGGATTCTCTGCTGGAGGCTGAGGAGACACAGCACACATTCAAATGATTTTTTTTGATCTTCGATTCCGTAGAGGAAACTGAAATATTTCTAAATGAGCACCAACACACTAATCTCTGATACCTCGCCGATCTGCATGATGAGGGCAAATGTGGAGAGATGAGAGCAGCTGCACACGGTGACATTTTCAGTGGTGTAAGCAACCCAGCAGCCCTCCACAGACCAACGCAGCGTCCTTTTCTTTCTTTGTCCTGTCTCCTCTGTTTTGTCCTCCAGTACACACACGTCACAAAACCATTTTCGGGTACCTGATGAAACCACAGAAACAAAGATTTTACCAGCTGCACATCATCTTAAAAAATAAGCTCGATAGATAAATTGAGCTGAACCGTCTTGTGCTGGATGGTGAAGTTGACAGGCTCGGTGAGGTTGGTGTTGTTTATCGAGGGTAAGATGGCGGTGATGATGTCAGAGTACATCTCTGTTTGGTTTTCTGTTTTAAAGTAGTTATGACTGAGAAGACTCTCCATGCCTGTTATTGTCAGGAAAGCAGCTGCAGCGGAACCTGGAAAATGTCCACATATTGAAGGAACACGTTAGGGAAAATGTACAGCAAGCATGTTATGTGAATATGTAGAGGATAATGTATAGCGAACAGGTTTTTATCACAGAAAGGACCCCTTACAGGATGAGGAGGAACCCCAACATGAAGTGTGCTTAGTTAAAAGACAGACAGACTCAAAAAGAAAGGATGCTTGGATGTGCACATCGGAGAACTACGCAGAGACCATGACCTTAGTTCATCTATATCACCCAATTTCTGAATTTGTTAATTTCTCATTGACAGCAAGCTTCTTTTTCCTCTCAAAGTTCTGACGCTTCATTTACTCGACTTCCTGCTGCAAATTGATATAATATGAGTACAAAATCTAAAGTCTGGGATAAGAGCTTCATCACTAGCAAGACTCTTCTTCAAGATTCTTCACAGTAGAAGTCTTCAATCAATGACCAATCAGAATCTAGTTTGCAATATGCACTGAGCACACAATCACACATGGGGATTTATGACAATAAAGTTTCACAGTCATCCTGGTTTACATAATGAAACTTTTCTCACCGTTGTTATTGTCGGCCAGCCCATCCAAGTTGATCGCCATGCTGTTTCCTTTGGCTGTGAGAACCGAGCTCTCTGCGTTGTGTACTCCAGGCCCGATCGTCTCCAGACTTAAGTCTAACACACAGATGAGCGTTACAACAACCACTCAGTTAAAACAAAAAAACATCTGCAGTAACTAAGAAGTGGATCTTACCCTGCTGAACCCTTCACAGATCTCTTTGTTTGTTCTGACCGGCTGCACTAAGCAGAAACTAAACGGTCTGAGATGCCAGGATCAAACTGCCGGTCTCCCGTCACCTTCGCTGCTCACCCTGCTTGACTTGGCGTGTGGTCCAACAGAGACTTCCTACAAGAATATAACAGTTAACAAACAAACTGACTGTGTGACGATGCTCAAAGCAAACTGAAATCACACAGTTTGAGTGAAAAGGTTAAATGAGGAACTCGTACCATAGATGCTGCGAAGCCGTTTGCCACAGTCTGTAGCAAAAGCACAAGAAAAATATGTTTTAAATGAAGTTACATGGTGCATCTAAGTTTGCAGATTTTGTTTGCATTTCCAGTTTATGTGAAACTAGTTTGGCATACTCTCAGGCACTCCTATTCTAAGTTATTTCAAGAAAGTATTTTTCTCCTCCCTTTATTCAAGAGGTTTATCTTTCAATTTCTATTGGACGTTCTGATGTCAAAGTTAGTTTTTTTTTAAGATTAATTTTTGGGGCTTTCAGCTTTTAATTTGATAGGACAGTTGACATAGTAGGAAATCAGGGAACATTTCACTGGTCAAAGCTACGCATGAGCTTTATTAGTTTGTTGTGAGATCTGTGTGAACAGGAAAAGAGTGCAGTCAAAGGGTCCGAGTACAAGTCGGGCAAATCTAAGTGAAAGCAGGAATTTATTAGGTAGGGTTTTTATCTTTAAAGATCAAGCCAAAGGTTTTAAGCTAAATGAGATCTGCCAGTTTCAAGTCATTCTGAAGAAAGTTTACTGCAGAGCGGGCTGCAAAATTAATTGCTGTTTTCCCGAGCTCAGTTCGGACGTAAGGAAAGTTTAAAAACATCACAGGAACCCAAGGCATGGTGGCTTCTTGTGCTTTGGAGGTATGAACATAAATAAGGGGGAACCAAACCAAGAAGAGTTTTATACATAAGACTCAGCCAGTGTATATACCTGAGTACCTTCAAGGATGGCCAATCAGATTTAGTTAACAGGTCACAGTAATGAGTAAGGCATCTACTACCAGTAACAAATCTCAAGGCCCAGTGATACACAGTGTCCAATGACTGGCCGAGCCGCCCATATACAGCACATCTCCATAACCCAACAAAGGAATAAACGAGAAGTTTCCATGCAACTTAGAAAGAAACTCCTGCGATTCAGCCGCTCAGCAAATGGAGGCCTGTGCTCTCAGAGAGGGACTTAAGATGTCCAAAAAATAATTCAGTGGATCCCTTCTGCAAGACAAAAACATGTGGTTGACTCTGAATAAGTTGAGTGTGTTCAAAGATTATTCCTTAGTCCTTAGTCCTTAGTGCATTAGCACCTTTTATTAAATTGAAGTGAAGTGATTCGTATGCTCCTGTATTTTCTTCGGTTCCTGTCTTGAAGAAGGTTTCCACAGAAGTATAATAGTGTCCAACCATGCATCATGATAAAATCAAACACTAATCACATTATCCTTTTTGAATTGCAGTGAAAGATAAATCATGGGTCATTTCTAAAGTTTATCAGAGAAGGCTAACTCTCTTTTGTAAATCCTCACCGGGCCTGGTAAAAAAATGCCTTCATTGTTTTTCAGTTGTTGATCAATGTTGCCGAGAAAAGCTCTCTCTTTAGTCTCACCCTGCAGCAGAAAGGGAAAAAAAAGAGACTCGTTATAAGGTTACACGATGCAGTGTCTGATCCAAACTTTTACATAGTTTCCTAATGATATTGATGTTTGTACCAGCTTATCTGGCTACTTCCGATGACGATGGTTTTTTGTTTGATAGTGAGGACTTATAAGATGGTTTCTATACTGATTGAGCTCTCAAGAACTGCGTCAATGTTGTGCTTTGCCTCTGGTCACTTCCGTGCACTGTGTGTCCAATCGGACTCAAAGCTGATCGTTTGCTGTTACTGACATTGTTCCTTTTTTCTAGATCTTGCTTGTGTTGTACTTACTCTCTGATGTACTCTTTGGATAAAAGCGTCTGCTGAGTGAATTGTAGAATTGTAGAATACTTCCCATTACAAGGAAAGTATTCTAGGCTGTGGTTTAATGTGAAGAGATGAATGATTGTATTCTACAAACCTTTGAAAACATTTGAGAACAATATTCCACTAGTGTTAGTAAACTAGTTACTCTTTGGCAATTCAACTTTGCAGGTAATTTCTAGGCTGTGGTATCTAATGTGAAAGAGATGAAACTGATTGTATTCTAACAAACCTCTTGGAAAAACATTTGAGAAACAATATTCCACTAGTGTTAGTAAACTAGTTCACTCTTTGGCAATTCAACTTTGCAGGTAATGTTTTCCTCTGCAGGTTCGATCTCATCTAAAATACTCTGAAGACCTGTGGAAGGAAAATGACAATAAGAACTTGTGCAGGCTTAAAAAGCATGTCATAATATGAAAGTGTACTTAATATACTTTAACCGGTTATATTCTGAACATACTTTGACAGAATGAGACCCCTACTTCCCAAAAGATCCCAGTTTGAAGGTAAAACATCGGGGCAAGAACAATAGAAGGTCCCAGGTACTTAGTGCATATAGTTTGTTTACCAAATACCAGGAGTCTCACTGCACTCGTCTATATCTGAGGAGAGAGAGACAACACACTGTTACACACAGAACACACTTCACATGGTCACAAAATCATGACATGTTAGCAGTAACCACGGTTACATACCTGTGCATGGGTTAGCATGGCTGCTATCACCTTCAGGTTGTTCAGACGAAAACCCGAAAAGCAGACGCAGAAGTAAGATCGATGGAGTTTGTGCAGTTGGCGTGAGGACCGCAGACTGCGGTGTATTTTTCACACTCGTCAACTTGCAGCACGCATGAAACACAAATGAACGCAGGAAAATCTGAGTGAAAAATATGCTCAGGTGTGTTTTGGCACTTGGACTCAGGGCACAGACAGTGGAGTTGAAACACTCATCGATATCTGAGGAAAAGTTTACGTCGTTGGAATGTCATTGTGTGAATACAAACACAAATGGGAAAATGTAGGTTTGTTCAAATTGGTATCTTTTTGCTGTGAGGCAACAGCACTAACCGTTCTGCCCCTGATAAGTTATAGTTATAGTCTTATCTTAAAAAGACAGCAGACAGTAGACAGACCTTGGCAAATAGGAGTTGCATCGGTGTCAACTTTGTAGCCTGCATTGCATGTACACACAAAACTTCCTATGTTGTTTGAGTCACGCAGCTCCCCTCCACCCGCATGACTTTTACAAGACATTCATTCATCTATATCTGGTGAAAAGAAGAAACATTTTCTAATTTCAATATCAGAGCAGTGATTGTTGAGCTCATAAAGAGCAGAGAGAGGCTAGGCTTGTTTGTATTTGTACTTGGCAGGGGTTGGACGTAGAAACTGGTGAATTTATTTAATCACAGTGATGTGATTGCAGCTCATAAAGAGCAGAGAGACAGGCTTGTTTGTATTTGTACCTTGGCAGGGGTTGGACGTAGAAACTGGTGAAGTCGCATCTGTTGCAGTAAATCCATCTAGACAGGTACAGAGGTGTGATCCGATGGTGTTCTCACAGGTGGAGTAAGAACACAAATACGGCGGTCTTCACACACTCGTCATGTCTGCCAAGAGATGTAAAACTGCATCAGCTAAATGATATTTTTACGGGGAGACATGGGACTGACCTCCAGGATTTGTCCCACTTAGTATGAATAAACAGGCTTACAACATCCAAATGACTCTAGAGTGGGCAGGTGGTCGGCAGGGATTTCATAGCCAGTAATACAAACACAGCCTCCACCTTGTACACTGAGCAGTGGTCGCAGGAGTCTGCT